AAATCTAACACAAACATTCGATACCCTTAATACCGTCTAAGTTGTGGTGTCTACCCATAATAGCTTTTTGCATGTATATATTTATCCCTTTTCCTTAAAAAGAGAAGAAGAATGTAATGAGAACCATGTTAAAAATGACACTACAATTCATAGTGGAAGCAGCTGAATCACTGTAATTATTATTATTATTATTATTATTATTATTTACCCAATTAACGGCTTTAAGGTTTTAACCTTATCCATATACATTAGTTGTGTATTAAAGGAAAAATAAAATTAAGGTCCCAATAAAAGATGAATAAATAGAATATTTTTTATAATTATCAATCCAATGTATAAAGAAGAGATTTATACTCATAAACTAGATAAATTTGATTAAAATATTTCGATCAAATTCAAATCAAATATTGAAATTTGTATTAGTCAGACACATACATCCAATACCCTTGATACCATCTAAATTGTGTTGTCTACCCATAAATAGCTTTTTTGCATGTATATGTAACCCTTCTTCTTAAAAGGGAAAAAGAATATAATGAGAACCGTGTTAAAAATGACAATACATTTCATAGTGGAAGCAGCTGAATTACTGTTTTTTTATTATTATTTACCCAATTAATGGCTTTAAGGTTTTTAACCTTATCCATGTACATTATAACAAGTTCAGTACAAAATGAAAAGAAAAATAGACTTATGGCCTGGAGAATTGTAGAAAAATAAAATAACTTTTATATCTTGTAACTTTTTTTTGCATTATTATTTTTGATTAATTTTATTTTATCAATAATTTATATATGCAATACTAAATATTCTTTTAAAATTTAATCGTTTTTAATAATAAAATCCCAAATAAAAAGGTTTTATATGCAACCCTAATCAAGAATTATGAAATACTTCTTTTTTCATAAAATCAAATAAACTCACTCTTTATTCATATAATAATTTTTTTGTTCAAATCTAAAGTTTTATTACAATATATTCATATAATTACAAACTCACTCTTTTCTTTTAAACCATTATTGAGTTAAATTCTCCGGCATCGGAGACCGGAAAGAAAGAAAATCCGGCGTCAATCTTGGGTCAGCCGGCCTATTTATATCTTTGTTATTGCTTGCATGTGAGTCCTGTAAATGTGGATAAATTTGCATACAAATTTCATATCTTTTATTTATTTATTTATTTGAAAACTTCATGTAATAATGATTAGCTTTTTCCTTTTTTGTATGGTAATAAGAGTACAAGCACAAAAGCTTCATCTTCGGCTTTGGTACTAACTAGCAACAAATACTTTTGCTAGTGGATTGTTGAATGCGTACATTGACGCATCACAATGCATATTGGACACATGGAAACATATGTTATTATCTTATGTTATTGTACCAGGATTTTATTTTAATTAATAAAGAATTCTAATATTATTGAGTCCGTATTTCGAGGTACCATAATATTGTTAGTCCATTTTTGTCCTTCCAAAACCGATTTGGTTTTCCTCTATATATACTCAGCTTTACTCAGAACTTTGCACCAAAATAAACAAAGAAAGGTAGAGGGGAAACAAAAATGGCAGACAATCTAGTTGTTTCTAACGTAAACCTCGAGAAGCTTCTCAGCATGAAAGGAGGCAAAGGCGAAGGCAGCTATGCCAAAAATTCCCAAGCTCAGGTTTTTTTTTTATTATTTACATTTTCCAAGTTTTTTTTATATGATTATTGCAACGTATGAAGTTCATTTTATTTTTTCAATTATCCATGCAGGCTTTACATGCTCGTTCAATGCTTCATCTTCTTGAAGAAGCCCTAGACAGGGTTCAACTACGTTCCCCCGATGTACCCTTTGTTGTCGTCGATTTGGGGTGTTCCTGCGGCAGCAACACCATCTACATCGTCGACGTGATCGTCAAGCACATGGTGAAGCGCTACGAGTCGTCCGGGTACGAGCCACCGGAATTCTCTGCTTTTTTCTCTGACCTTCCTAGTAATGATTTCAACACCCTTTTCCAGCTCCTACCTCCGCTGGCAAATAACGGGGGTAGTAGCATGGAAGAGTGCCTTGCTTCCAATGGACACCGATCCTATTTTGCTTCCGGTGTCCCCGGTTCGTTTTACCGACGCCTTTTTCCCGCTAGATCCGTCGATGTCTTCCATTCGGCGTTTTCACTGCACTGGCTATCTCAGGTTAGTTATTATTATTCTCTCATTTATAATACAAAATCTCAAAGCTATTAAATACATACACATATACACATGTAGAGTGAAAGTTTGTTCCCAAGGATGATCTATAAGGCGAAAAGAACAGGAGAAAAACATAATCTTCAAGTTTATGTCATTTCATGGTAAAAGAAAATACAAAAGTTTATGTGATTTTGAATGAGATCTAACCATCCCATTTTTGCCGGCATTTAGTAGGTCAAAAGTAAGTGCACAAATGATCATAGAAAGTATATATTTAAATATAATATGTCATTTTCTCTCTTTTTGAAACTTGAAAAGAATTGGAACCCTAATTTCCTCAAAATGTTTGACTATATTGTGTGTGTGTGTTTTCAAATAGGACCACACATATTTTGAATATAATATCGCTAAAGGTTCAGGTGATATTTTAAAAAAGGATTAAATTAATGTGTTGTTTAGTCTTGAATCTGATAAAATAATGTAATATATAAATGTACAATATTATTTTAAAAATAATATTATAATTTTTAATCAATACCATTAATTTTTTTAACCTGGTGCACCCAGATGCCTGAAGCTGTGCTGGACAGAAGATCGACGGCTTACAACAAAGGGAGGGTGTTTATCCACGGTGCAAGCGAGAGCACAACCAACGCATACAAGAAGCAGTTCCAGACAGACCTGGCAGAGTTCCTGAGAGCAAGATCCATAGAGATGAAGAAGGGTGGGTCCATGTTCCTTGTCTGCCTGGGCCGAACTTCGGTGGACCCCACCGACCAAGGTGGGGCCGGCCGCCTCTTCGGGACCCACTTTCAGGATGCTTGGGATGATCTTGTCCAAGAGGTATACCCACTTTAATTAATCATGATTAATCACTAATCACCCATGTTTACTTAAAGCTCTTCATATTTACATGCATCAACAGTGCTCCCCAATTGTACCTAAATCATAACTCACATCATTAGATTCTTTATATCTCAGTCATTTCATGATTTATGTTCAAGAATATGTTTAGAATTTTATTTATTACTTAAAACTGAATAATTAAAATAAATTAAGGTTTGATTTAACATGAGAATAGTGGAGGCCGATGACAAAAAAAATGATAAAAATTTCACCCTATGCTCTGGTTCTGCAATTTGGCAGACCAAAAAGCAAAGAGTGAAACACCATGCAAAAGAGGGAATGATTAGGTGTGTTGGGGTTTATGATGGATTATCACTGGTCACGATTATCCTACTCCAACTTCAGCCGTTGGATGAACTTGGTTAAGACTAGAGAATCAGCTTTCGCCATCCACTTGTCTTATTGCCATGTCGGCAGCAATATGATAGGTGCAGGCAAGGGCTGATGGGGGACCCACATGAGCAGTGACCACTACTGTTGCATCCAATTGAAAAAAGAAAATGTTAAACATAATCATACATTTAACAAGACGACAACAACAGTCGTTGAGGTCCTTTTGATCATTGTTGATCAAAATAATCATACAAGTTCAGTGGGACCAAACATTCTCTTGCAGAAAATTCATGTAGTAGATAGTACATTTACGTATCATCCTCTCCTTTAGTCAACTGTCCCATTCAAGCTGCCACATAGCTTATCATCATAATTCAATAATCATTTCATATATTTCCTATTCATATATGTTTTGCTTTATTATTTGTCAATAAATATTTTAAAATTTAAGATTATTATGATTAAAATGATGCGTATGTGTTATGGAAGGGTCTTATAAGTTGCGAGAAACGAGACAATTTCAACATTCCGGTGTATGCTCCAAGCCTACAAGACTTCAAGGAAGTGGTTGAAGCTGATGGCTCATTCACCATAAACAAGCTTGAGGTATTCAAAGGAGGTAGCCCTCTAGTCGTTAGCCGGCCCGATGATGCATCGGAGGTAGGTCGAGCGCTAGCCAACAGCTGCCGAAGTGTTTCCGGGGTACTAGTCGATGCTCACATCGGCGACAAGCTCAGTGAGGAGCTGTTTTTACGAGTGGCGAACCGAGGCACAAGTCATGCTAAAGAGCTGCTAGAGCAGTTGCAGTTCTTTCACATAGTTGCATCACTTTCTTTTGATAAGTAAAAAGGGGTGTGAGAAGAATAAGAAAAATTAAAAAGCCTTTTTTCTTTATCTTTTCCCTTTTTGTGTGTTAATTCTCGGTATTAATTATTCAACACAAAAAAGAGGGAAAATGGTTTGTTTTCTTTTTACTTTCATTTGTGTGTTTTTATGTGTGATTATAGTTAATGAAATATTAATACTTGGCGTTCCCTTTAACCCAAATTATATATTCACAAATATTGATCTTTAGATCTTGTCCATCAGAATACACAGACCTGTATGCATAATATCCCTTACAGATCACTGATTCCGGATCAGTAATCACAGGGTGATCTTTTCCGTAACTGTCGAACAACGAACTTTCCTCCTGTTCGATCTTGTACTCCAAGTATCGAATCCCCATCGCCTTTGCTGTTTCACCAAAGTAGTTGTTTAACACCCATTCATGTACCAATGGCACCTCTTGAACCGTCACTGCACCAGCGGGCAAGGATGTCTTATTGTTAGCCCTGCACCATGGGGCTCCAACCATGACACTACATGAGTTCACCACCTCGGCGAACTTGTCCAAATTCATTCCTTTAAACTAACAAAGACATTCACCTTTATGTGCACATTGAATAATTCAAGGACTAAACTGAAATAAAAAAAATTAAATACCAAAAATGTAATAGAGTATCTCCAGACACCAAAAATACCATTTAACTAAAAAAATATTACAACATTCTAATATACATGCACACACAACAGACGGACAAAATCATTTCACAGATATATTGGATGGAAAGAGTGAAGGAAATGATATCGAGTACATTCATCCTCCCATTCTACATTTTTCCACCACTCCTCTCCTTGAATCACAATCTTCTGTCCCTCTGCACTCTCGGAGTTTAGCGGAAGCTTCCTCAACTTGGGGCATTCTTTTATTATTGCTTCCTTCAGCTGTGGAAAAGGCAGCGCATCCCGGTATATTGTCTTCAGTTTTGGCAGTTTTTGTAGATCGAAAGCCTCGAGCTCCGAAAATAAGTTTGAATTTTCCGTCAGCTTGTCGTCTTCACTGAGTTTATCCTCACTGATGACTTCTTCTAAATCTTGGCATTCATGTATGGCCATTTTAACCAAATGTGGAACAAAGAATATCCATGTTGCATCCTTCAATTTCGGGCAACGAGCTAGTTTTATAAGCGTAACGCTGCGAAACCATCCTGCACTTGCAATCTCTGCGCGTTCAATCTTCACTTCTTCAAGATCTTCACAATCATAGACTCCTAGAAAATCCAGAGGTTGTATATTTGCTAAAGCCGAAATGCTCAAAAACCTTGAACCTTTGAGCAACTTAAGGATTACAGCTTCAACATTACAGCTCTGCAACTTGAGGGACATCATAGCTCTTTCCAACATAGAAAGGCTTTCAATACTAATGGTCAATACATTCAAATAAGCTAAACACTCGACTTCCTCCACCAACCATTCATAACCAGACCCCACCATTTTCAATACTTGCAACTTAGAGACATTGGATATCAGTTGTGGTGGGATTGTTTTTAAATTCGATGTGTGCTCGATATTCAAATACTTCAGCTTTTCTAGGACCTTCAACTCGACAGGAAGTGTTTTTAGTCCTGTGTAAGACAGATCGAGATGTTCTAGTGAAACCAACTTTGCAATTCCAACAGGCAATTCATCCAAATTAATGTTAAAGGACAAATCCAAAACCTTTAGCATAGGCATGAAATTGAAGAAATCGTTGATGATCACCTTCAACTCGTTCTTCCCTAGGAATAAAGTTAGGAGATTGGGGCACACAAATACCTGAGTTAGACTTTCGATTTGATTTCCCATGAGCGACACTCTTCGTACGTCTTCCCAGTTTTCTGCTACAGGTTGTCCCTTTAATTGCATACCTGCTTTTACGCAGAATTTATTCTTCTCGGATTCACTAGCTATCCACAAAGCCATGTCGCGGATCACATCGTGCATCTTTACGATGTCGCTTCTTACATCCTCTAATAAGCATGCGTCAATAAGAGAACCTAAGATGTACTCTCCCTGGTTTCGGACACTGCTTACAAGATGGTCCAACAATCCTTCCCCGATCCAACAATGGATTAGCTCACTTTTTCTAATGGGAAAACCTGATGGGAATAAACAACAATACAAGAAACAAGATCTCACCCTTTCATCAGGTAAACAGTCGTAACTGAATTTTAACTGAGGAAACATCTTTTTCCCTATCCCTGGGAAAACAGAGGCAGCTGATTGCCTTAAGGCCTTCATGGCATATTTCCATTCTCCAGGGGTCTTCTTGGAGGACATGGCTCGCCCAATTGTAATGAGTGCAAGCGATAGTCCGCCACACTCCTCTGCCATTGTTTCGGCTAACTTGCGAATATCTGGATGTCTATCAAGTGTTTCTGCTCCAACCTTGTCCAAAAATAGTTTCAACGCCTCTGCTTGCTGTAAACACTCCACTTTGATCTTTTTATGTGCTTCCATTTGAAAGCACACCTCGATAAGGCGAGCGGTGAAGATGATTTTCGAGCCGTTCTTTTGAGTCGGGAGAGGTACCCCGATTCTCGTTAGATCCCAAATATCATCCAACAACAGTACAAACTTCTTTTCACATAATTTGTTGAAGATGTCTGCAGCTTTCTCATCAATTCTCCTGTGCTTCCAAGCCTCATCCAAAAATCCTATCGTTTTGCCAATCTCTTCTTGGACTTTCTCAATTTGCAGATCTTGTGACACAACTACTCAAATTACTTGATTGAAATCATTCTGCATATCGAGGAATCTGTTGTTGATTTGGTTTAGGAGGGTCGTCTTGCCAACACCTCCTAGGCCCCATATAGGCCAATAATTCCCACTTGTTCATCTTGAATACTCCTCCAAAGATTATTGCAGGTGGAATCTAAACCCACAGTCGACACAGTAGGTCGTTTAGTAGCCACAGGAAGCGGTGCCTTGTCAGCCACGGGAATGAAAACTCCTTTGCTATGCTGCTCCTTCACCTCTTGGTACATTTCTGCAATTTGCTTCCCGAACTTGAGACTTGACTTGGGATGCAAGGTACACCAACCTCCCATACATGATTTTTTAATTTGCCAAGGACTTTCAGCAATCAGTAGATCAGCTTCGTTTATCACGGTTGAGGCCCTCGAAAGCCAACCCTCAACTTGGTTGAGCCGCTTAAGTTGTTGCTGTTCTTCAGCGATTCTGACCTGGTTCATCTCATCATTCCTAAGATGGTCCAATTCGGCTACTGCAGTTTTCAAAGCATCAAGGTTCTGTTCAAGCCTGCATATAAAAACTGACTACCACCGCACAATCCCAACAACGGGTAATGAGGGTATCGCATGAAAGTTGGATGGAGAAGAAGTTACCCATAGATGGTTTTGTTTACAGAAGAGAAGAGTTGAACAATGAATGAACAAAAGATGCTTTGGGTTGTTATAAGAAAAAGGAGAAAGAAAGAAGAATTCACATCTTGAAAATGACAGCTTCCATTAATTGGGTTATCTTAAAGCATCCGGAGCCACCTGGTATCCTTTTTTCTTCTGTTCTACAAATCTTGAAAATGACTTGACAGCTCCTTCATAATTGTTTATAAATCTTGAAAATGGCTGCACATTTAACACAATTTGGCCTATAAGTCAATATGTTTAGCAGCATCGAGGTCCAGGGCTCCCCTTTGCACGACAAATAGTAGGGAACTTCGTTTCTTTTGCATGAGCCAACAACCTTCAGCCGAAGATTACTCAGATGAGTACATCGTTGCAAAGCCAACATCATTCATTTTGATCTTCAGCTGGTCAATAATTCGCAGCATGATGTTGCTCTTGGCCTACATTTGATAATTGATGCTGCCGACATGCTTAGGCCTTCTTACTATAAAATTCAGGTGAGGTCAAATTCTGGACATGTATAGTCATATTTCAAGCATCATAGATTGGTTGGGGGGAACGGTTCTAATCGGGTTAAACATTAGTTATTGCACATCCGTTAACTAAATGGTTCAGAAGCACAAAACAAGCCCAACATGAGAGCACATGTTTGATATACCAGCTTTCTAAGAAAATGTACAATATGTAATTGAAATGCTTTTACAATGATAATGAATGATGCAACATTTAAGTCAATTTCCCCAGCCTTTCTTTGTAGCCTTGTGGAAGCTGGAGATTGCCAAAATGAAATGAATTATATAAACTGAGTCTCTTGCTGTCTCTTGAGGCTGATTAATTTTGCATTCGTCTATTAAAGGGAGCTGAGGTTTCAAGAATTTGCTTAGCTTCAATAAGTGTCTTCTTAAATCTCTCTAAATTGATCTTTAGATCTTGTCCATCAACATACACAGACCTGTGTGCATAGTATCCCTTAGAGATCACTGATTCAGGATCAGTAATCACTGGGTGATCTTTTCCGTAAGTGTCGAACGACGAACTTTCCTATGGTTCAATCTTGTACTTCAAGTATCGAAGCCCCATCGCATTTGCTGGTTCACCAAAGTAATTGGTTGCCGCCCATTCAAGTGTCAATGGCACCACTTGAACCATCACTGCACCTGTGGGCAAAAATATCTCATTTGTTAGACCAGCACCATCGGCTCCAACCATGACACTGCATGAGTTCAACACCTCAGCGAATTCATCCAAGTTCGACATCCTCTCAGGTTCCGCCCTTGTGACTCGAAAGCCTAGTCCCTCCATCATCTCCACCATTTCATTTTCGTTCAAAAACCTTCTTGAATTACGACGTGATATAAGCATCAGCACCGGTGTTTTAATCTCGGACACGTGGTTTATTTTCAGATTGTATGATACTTTCAAGAAGTGCTTGAAATCAAACATGGAATAACCTCCTGGAATATCAGTAATGTTGAGGGCTAGATTGTTATGGTATTTAAGCCCTATAACAGCCCCTGGAAAACAATGAACACTCACATCATCAGGATTTATAACATCATAACCAGACAAGTGAGACAGAACCCTGTTGTACTTTTGTGCCACCGAAGTTGGTAATCTGTGATTACAAATTTTAGTCGGGAGCTAAAATGGCTAGTTGTGATGAACAAAGGGATGATAATCTCATTGAACTCATGAAAAATATTGCCTGTGAACCCTTTTGAAGAGAAGACGACAGCTGTGACATTGTGGGTGGAATTGCAGGCTGGTGGCGGATTAATGGTGCTGTTCCCATGAAGAATCTGAACCGGTGAGACGAGTTTCATGGCGGTTTTGTCTTCTTTCCTTGCATGTGGCTTAACAATTCTGGTGACTTGTGGTGTTGGCACATAAACTGTCAACCCTTTGTTGAAGATCCTTATTGGTTTATTTTCTATGAATACCTCTGAATGAACATCATTGTGGCATGAAAATCCATTGGACTAGAACTGAACTCGATCGTCTCCTGTTTCATTAATCAACACAATATATACACTTTATGATTGTGAATTGGCATGAATTGAATTTTAAGAAATGAAAGAGATGAACCTCTAACAAGCCTTCTTAATAAAAATTCTTGGGGATCAACGTCATCAACATTGATCCTTGAATCTGATAACCTGTGGCCCCCTTCATTTCCATGGAGTTTCAAGTCAACCAAGTTTATGGTGTCATTAGATTGAAAAAGTGTAGCATAAACCAGAACAATTAACACCAACACATGTAGCTAAAGTTGCACAATTCACCAGCCTTTTTGAATCCTTCTTCGTCTCCTTTTAACCTGCAAAGTTAAAAAAGAGACCCTATTTGATTGTAATGAATTTCTTTGAAAAACCCAAATTAAACTCAGTTGAAGAAAAGCAAAGAACGAGTTTGGACAAGGTACCACACCCTTCACATTCAAACACAAATCAAACGTGACGTCAGAGACGCGTAGGAAAGGCTGGTATGCATCAATAAAGTAGCAGAATCAAGGTGCTTTTCATTCATTTTGTTTGTTGGATTTTGACAACCGTGGAATGTCGCTAGCTGAATCAATGGAAACCAAAGATATTTCTGAACTGAAAACGTTATTTTTCCCCCCCCAAAAGTAAAACTAGGTGCAGTCTGAGAATAAACATTATGTAAATGTTCTTAGGTTTCAGAAACCGATCGATAGTTGATTCACTATCAATCGAGAGTATATGACTCCAACTATCGAAGATTACTGGCCTTATTTCATTTGGAGAAGGTTATTCGATCATTATGTGTTTGTATAGTTAATGATAGTAATACTTGGTTTAATATAAAAATAAAATGTTTCTAAATTATGACTCGAAAAAAGTTTTAACGTATAAATAATTTTTCATTAAAAATAGGTGTCTAACGTTTTTTATTTTAGGTGCTCAGACGTTAATCGCCGTTAGAAATCTCTATTAAGTGACACATGTCACGTAATGGTAATTTTGAGAATTTTTATTTAAAATAAAAAATTAAATAAAAGTATATTTTTTAAAAAACCTTAAATTTTATCAAATCTTAAAAAAACCCAAAACTTTTGAAACTTTAATTTAATCTAGTCGTCATAGTCGGCCGCCACCAACGCCGTTGATCAGCTGAACAACCAACGACAAGTGATCGGCCAACCACCCACGACCAAAACCCTCGTACTTTCGCAACCGATCGAACACTCAAAAGCGATATAAATGAAAGATTTTGTTTTAAGGATTTGAGTATTTGGTTTAAGGATTTATTTTTAGGAATTTATAGATTTAGGGGGATTGGGTGTTCGATCGGTTGAGAAAGCATGGGGATTTTCATCATGGGTGGTTGGTCGATCACACTCCATTGGGTGTGCAGTCGATTAACGGCGTTGGTAGCAGTTGGCGATGACAAAGAAATTAAAATTAAGTTTTTAAAAGTTTTGAGTTTTTTTTTAAGATTTGAAAAATATATTTTTTACTTTTTTAAAATAAAAATTCTCAAAATTACCAGAACGTGATATGTGACACTTAACGGATATTTTAACGACGGTTAACTCCCGAACATCTAAAATGGTAACGGAAAAAACGTTAATCATCTATTTTTAACAAAAAAATCTTTAGGCACTAAAACATTTTTCCAGACATAATTTAGGCATTTATTTTTTAATTAAGCATTAATACTTTGTGTTCAACTTTAAACCCAAATTACATAAATAAAGCCAAATCACACACATCTTAGGATTTCCACTGATGCTAGAATAAAGCTTAAGCAATAATGGATCCATTGTCTTCAAACTGCACAACCAAAGGCAAGTAACCGGTAACAAGAAACAAATATATCCTTTGAGGTTTATGTATAATTCTTAAAAGAAATACATATCACACATTGATTTAAGCTCCCTCCTATTGAGCTTCTTCTTCTGGTGGTGATGAATGAAATATGAAAATATCAGCTTCTTCTGGTAGCCTAAAGCTCACCCTTTTCTTCGACTTCCCACTTTGGCTCATGCTCAAAGAAACCTCAACAATGTCTTCTTCTTCTTCACCAGCTTTCAAACTCCCTATTGCTTTAGACGAGCTGCTGGTATTCGTATTTTCTACGACGGAAGACGGGAAAACTCTCTTGGAGGAGTGATGTTTGAAAATATGGTATTCACCCGTCCCGTTTATCTTTTGCAGCCCTGGTGAAGCAATCAGCCAATCCTCCAGGGTGAGCTCTTTTGCCCTGTTTCGCTGCTGCTTCTCTTTTTCCTGCAACAGTTCCCTCTCTTTGGCTACGTTTTTCCACATGCAGATCAACATCAACAAAGACAGGACCGAGCAAGAACTTCGGTTACGATCGTTGTCGTGCTTTGTTTCCTCTTGATCGGACAACCTTGATTGTCCGAAACAAGAGAATCTACAACCCATGTTTTAAACTATAAAAAATCATAAACTCAAGAACTCTGTTTAGGTATTGTTCATAATACAGTAAGTTATATATATATATATATATATATATATAGGATTCCTAGATGGTTTCTCCAAAAGATTCATCCGGAAATAGCGTAGTTGTTATCGATACACAGTCATTGGTCAATGTTAAGCTAAACTTGTTTGTTTTGTAGGACTACAGAATCTGTACCTCATTTCTTTATCCAAATGACTAAAAACCCCCATGCTGATGCCATTTATTCCCATAATTCCATGGGCAGAACAGTAACAGAGTTAAATACAGATTAAGGTTATATTAAATGCTAGAAATTACCAGACAGGTAGGGACACACTGTCTTGACTTATACACCTGCTTATATATGTTGACAAACAAACTTTGTTGAATTTGGTGAAGAAGCCAAGAAAACCAACGGATGTAGCTAAAAACAGTTGTCAATAAGTATAAATTCTTTCTCAAATAAATTACAAATGAAGAACAATGACAGGATATCATAGACAGTCAACGGAATTGTTTAATTAGCATTTTAACAAATTCACAAACTTGATTGATTGATCGACTTATTAAAAGATTTTCAACGCCCACAGTGAATTATGTTGGGAAGAACCTTGTGCCTTGATGTCATTGCATTGCAACTTTTTTTTTCCTTTTTTTTTTCTTGGAGAAAATGTAACAAATCTAAGCAATGCAAAGAACAGAAGAACGTGAATCAAAAAACCAGCTTCCAAATGCTAAATACCACAATTATTACACATCTAATAACAGTATACTCTCCAGTCACCGACTATATCGCTCTTGGATTCACTAAATGAAATCTGGTAATAACACTAATGACAAGATTCACTAAATGAAATCTGGTAATAACACTAATAACAAGACACGAGTGTAAAATCTATCCTTATATTTATTAGGGTGATGCTGGAACTGGATCAGTTCCGGAAACGTGAGAGGCTGCGTCCTCTTTTGATATTGCGACATGGTTGGAAGGAGATGTCAGTTTCGTGCTGTCCCTCCTTCCATCTCTTGTACCAGACCTGTTTCCATTTTGACTAGCATTTAGTGATAACCTTCTGCTGGGAGTTCCGTTGCTTCCACCATTTGCTCGAGTACCCACCATCTTCTTCGTACTAGATGCTCGAGCAGGGCTTGGTCTTGAACCGAAGATGGCTTCTTGTTCAGGGTTTTGCTGATCACTGAACTTCTTCTGATCCTGCAAGTCCATGAGTTAACTATATTTATCAGAAGAGTAAACACTTTATATGCTAAACGAGAAATTTTAGCTGAAAACTCTTTTTTGAGTTCCCTTTCGTCCTATCAAGATCTACGTCCATGCTTGTTATAACCAATAATGAATTGAAACCTTACCTTAAGCCTTCGTTTTTCTTCTTCTCTTTCTTGCCTAAGCATGGCATATTCATCTAGCATGGCAAGGAGGGGAACACCGTCATACGTGAACATTATGCCACGAGCTTCTTCCCAAACTCGAGTTTTGGCAACCATAGTGTCAACCATACCTACAAAAAGGCCAATAAAACCAATTAAAAAAATATGGGCTTACAGGCATGCTATGCAGATCTAAAGTGGTAGCACTACCACACATAGTTTAAGGCAAATATGTCATCAATGGATGAAAGGAGGAATTATAGGCTTCAGGGAAGATTTCAGCTCTTGTTTTTCGAATCCCATGCAATTGCCATGCCGTAACTGCCTAAATTCACATTAATTATTCACAAAAAACCTTCATCTTTAAGATTTTTTTTTTAATTTTTGATTACCACAATCTAGTTTGGTAAAAAAGTGGGGAACAAAATTTAGTGGATACTTTCTATCGAGCCTAATCAAAGATAGGTTAGAAGGAACTTTAAGACCAGAAATTGAATTGCAATTTGCAAATGATTTTCATAGAGATTTTGTATTTAATTGTCTTCTATTTAACAGAAGAAAAAAAAATGCAATTTCACACAATATCCACCAATGGCATAAGAATCACCATCCTGTAAATATGATTCTAGAAGGTCCTACCTGGAATTTTGTTGACAAGAGTACGAGCTTTCTCAGCACGCTTGAGATTTAAGTGTGCACCCCTGCTTGAATTGTACCTATTCTCATCCTGTCCCAGCAAGGAAATATCAGTGGAAGCCTAACGTTCAATGTAATTAGAGGTTAAAGTAGAACAAGATATGAGCATTCACAGGGAAACATCATCAAATCCGAGTACTTTAAAAGTCCAAAACATTTATCGGGAAACATTGGAATAAGATGAGGGGTTCAAGAATCAGCACTAAGGTTCAAAGCATTATTAACTATTTATCAAGAAAGAGATGGATCCACAACACTCAACCCAAGATACTTAGTTATATCATGTTAGGATAACATGTTGGACAACAATAAT